TACAATGTTGACACCACCAATTCAGCAGAATCTTTTAATGTTGTCATTAGGGATGCGAGAATGTATACTTTACTACCAATGTTTGATGCAATCATTGCAAAAATGGCTGAATGGTTTAACAAGTATAGGAAGAAGGCAGCTGAAATACCATACACATTGAAGCTTATACCTGTTGTGGAAGATGAAATGTCTAAAAGATGTGTTGAAGCGGGGTTTCTCACGGTGGAAGAGTTAATCAGCTTTCATCTTGAGTACAGTGTGCATGGTTCTGACGGAAAGGTTTATACCGTTGATATGGCTATGAAGACTTGCACCTGTGAGCAATTTGATAAAGACAAATACCCTTGCGTGCATGGAGTAGCTGCTGCCACATTCATGGCAAAGGCAGCGGGAAGAGAACGTCATCTATCTGAGTATTGTTCGAAATACTATTTAGTGGAACAATGGGCTTTGGCTTATCACAGGACAATTTATCATGTTCCTCATATGTCTGATTGGGTTATACCAGAAGATATTAGAGCAAATAAAATAATTCCCCCGGATTATGAAAAGAAGAAAGGAAAACCACAACAAACAAGATTTCCATCAGTAGGAGAATCCCGTGGAAGAGGAAAAAGGGGCAGAGGGAGAGCTAGAGGAGACAGTGGAAGAGGCAGAGCCAGAGGAGCAGGTCTTGCATCTTATTTTGAATGTGGAAGTGCTTCTGGTACTACCTAGGATTTACTGGTTTTATTATGTGTAATATGGACTACGGCTGATTACTCGTTTTACTATGTGTAATCTGGACTACTTGAGACTACTAGTTTTACTACGTGTAATCTGGACTACTGGGAATTTCTGGTTTTATTATGTGTTATTCGTATGCAAAATATATCACTAGGTAAATTGTTTATGATGTACGTTTAAACTATTTTTGATGATTGTTTTCACTTCCTAGACTATGTCTATGGTAACTATATACATCTAAACTATTTTTGATAAATATTTTCAATTATTAAAAAAACCTTATCAGTTTCCTAAAAAACATCCTTAACTTTCTATATTAGTTTACTAAGTGTTCTAGTATAGTGAAGAGAATTTTTCAAAACATGTATTCCTTGAATTTTTTTAATGCAAATGTCTTCCTTAACAAGATTGAGAGGGGTATGGGGCATCCCGAGTTGGTCTGGATCAGATCTTGGTGGTTGGATCCTGTAAATAACTCATGTCCTTATATTAAAACCGTAATTAGCCACTTTTTCGATTTAAATTTAAATAAAAAAATATATAATATTATAATAAAAGGTTAAAGGGAAATTTTTAAGAGAGGTATGGGGCATCCCGAATTAACTCCCATGCCGGCATCAAATTTAATGGTAACTGGTAACTGGTAAGCATCTGATTCACGGTGCTTTAAGCACTCCACAAGTGCAAAGAACTGGGGATTTATATCTCAGGATGGAATCCAACTTCAAAGAACTCATAAAAACAGGAGACTTCCTTCGAGTAAACTATGGACTATTGATGGATATCGCCGAGTTTGCCTCAGATTTTTAAGAAATTGCCTTCGTTTGGATTCCTAGGGAATTAAATGTAACTGCAGATGATTTGGCAAAACAAATCCTTGTTGTAAATGAGGACTTTTATGCCACTACCTAAATCTAGCATGAATAAAAGTTTGTTGTGTTTCATAAAAAAAAGGGTAAGCATCTGATTCAAGAAAAAGACATACGTATCCATTGTTTTAGTCAAATTGATGTATTATTTATGCTTACACGGAAAGAATTTTACAAAAATTAAAGTTTATTAAACTTTATTTTTTTCATACAAATCTACAGGAGTTTATTGTATTGATGATTTGTGAAAATATTAGTATTTTTCAAATCTCTCTTTATTGTATCTAGTATTTACAAAAGATCTGTCAAATCCAATCTAATTGGACTAATCATTTGTTCAATCTCTTTAAAATTCCCCTTATGGAAACAAGAATCTCACTAATATACTTATCAAGAGTTATTTGGGATTATTATATAATTTATCCTATCAAAACAGAAATAAAAAATACCTTAAAATTGAAAACTTATTTACAAAAAAAAACTACCACTGAAGTAATTAATAAACCTATCTTTAAATATTATTTATCTTTTCTTAATTTTAATGTATTTTCCTGAAATGATTAGTAGATAAAAATGGCAACAATAATTTAAGAAAATCAGTTTCCTACAACAATTACAACTAAATAGGATATAGTTGATATGTTGTGTTTTTGACATGTTACACACATGTTTTGCATATCATATTTGTGCTTTCTTAGAGTATTCTTAGTGTGTTTTCAGTTATTTCAGGTGGAGAACGAGTTGGAATGCACCAGAATGAGCATGTGGAAGAAAGAATGCAAAAACCAGATTTTTCCATCGTGGAACACCCATGCGGAGAAAACCCGATTTGCTCTCGTTCTTTAATGAGACCTCTGATCTATTTCGAGAAAGAGCAAAACACATCACTCCTCTCTATCCTAGCAGGCGTCGTTCTTCTAATAAAAGAATCCTGGTCGCCTCTACTCAAAAAGACAAAGAGAATAGGTTAGATTTTTCACAAGAAACTTGTTGAGATTTTTTTGTTGAAGATTTATTTTGCCTATTTTGTAAGGGCCAAGGCTTCCTCCTCTTGGTTTGCAGAGAAGAAATCCTTGAACCCTCTTTATACTTTGGTTTATCTAATGCATTATTCAGTCATGACTTGTTTGTTCTCTGGTGTTATGATCGAGTAGTCGATTTGTTAGCCTAGGATTTTAGGGTGTTGATCCATTGAACTGAACATAGATAAGCCCCATTCTCGCATTTGCTCCCCACTGTTCTTACTGCTGATACTGATTTGATCACTTAGTATTTGATTCAAGTTTAATCTTTTAGCATTAATTATGAATTAGGTTGCTAGATCTGTTGAGAGCAAGCATCACATCCCTGGTCAGCGAAAGTAGATATCAGGGTGTGATGTAAGTATATTAGGTATGTGCTTAATGTTTGTTGTCGAGCCTTGATCCACGCGAGAGCATAGGCATCAAGCTCCTCCGCGAAAGGAGCACACCTGCGAAGCAAGGTGTTCTAGTTAAGAAATCTAAGTTCTAGGCTGCACTTAATGAGACACCCTAGGTTGACATCCTTATATCATAAATTTCAAACCCAATTTTATTATTTGTTTCTCACAATTTTGCTCTTCACAACACTTAATCGTAATATTTGGTCTTTGTAGATTCGATCCTAAAATGCTACATCGACATACCATTCAATTGTGGTTGTGTGAACATTAGGTTAATTGGTCTGTGTTCGCATGTAATATCAACAGCTACAATGATTTGATTAAAATAATTTATCATTAATCCTATACGAAATCTAACTTCCCTCACTTTGCATTTCCTAAATATGATAATTTTCTATGGTAGCTTATTAATGGACGACATTACCAGAGTCTGTATTCTATTCATCCTCAGTTTTTTTTCTTCCTAAAATCGTTGTTTCCCATAAATTGGGAAACAAACAACTTTATACAGTATATGATATTTTGTGATATACAAAAAAACTGCACTTTTTCTAATTCTAAAACTATCTCCATAAACGCAATTAAACTAAATATTCTTTTTAGTTATCGCTTTTACTATTCTCTGTATTTTTGCTTACCTATATATTTTCTCAAATGATTCATTTGCATTCCTTATCATCTAATTTTAAAAAAAAAAAATTATTGATGGATCTACAAATATATTATTAATATCTAATTGATAAGCAATATAAATTCACCACCTAAATCAATTTTTATATATATTTACTAAATTTTGAAACAATATTGTTTTAAAGTTATATTTATCATTTTTATTAGTAATAACTAAAAATAAATGTCATACAAAAATATTTTATATAAAATATAAAGAAAAATCAATTAATATATAAATATATTATTTTATGTATATCTTCATATAAATAATAGTCCAATGTAAATTCAGTATGATAAGTGTTGAAAAATATAAAAATATATAGCACCAGTTTTTAAATAGTATATAAAGCATTTTACCATACATTATCATAGAAAATTTGATCCAAAAAAAAATATAAATGCATTTGTGTGAATGTACGATCATATTCTTAAAATATGGATGATACAATTAACGGTTTAAAAGAAAAAAAAATTACTCCCTATAAACTATAAAATTATCAGGTTCATAAATTTCATTTAAAAAAATATTTAATACATGTAAATTTAAAAAATATATATTATCATTTAGACAAATAAATATTTATTATAAAAATAAATAAAAACAAACACCCGCTCAAGCTCTCGTTAGTTTTATAGTCAAATTAATTCACTAGGATCAAATATCACTTAATGAGATGGTATTTGAAAATAAAAATAAAACAATTGTTTCATCATTTTTTTCTTTAATTGATAAATGCACCAAACATAAGACACTTGTTTAATTTCCAAAATTATTTAATTCAAAAAAGAAAACGTAAACTGTATCAAGAAACTTTTGAGAAATTTCATGTTTGTTCATCTTTCTACTTTTTTCATTCCTTCAAATCATGGCCACAACAGCGAAGAAGACACCATGATATTCAGCTTCATGTTAATCATAACAGCCTTGATAACGGTCTACAAGGTAGGAGACTCTACAAGGTAGGAGAATCTGAGGATGGATGGCGAAGAAGGACGTCTTTCAATACTTATCACTTAAGTCGCTTTGGAGAACAAATTATGCGGCTTTTAATCTCTTAAAGCAGTCTATAACATAGAACATGATACCGTGGCCCTCACAGAACCAAGTCTGTTCTACGAACCAGATAGATTCTCAAAAGATGAGATGTATAATGCTTCTCAATCTCGAATCTCTTTATCGCTTACAACCTACGGCGGTGTGTTTGTTTCGAATCCATTAATAATGGGGCCAAATAGAGACATAATACAAAAATAACTTGACTTGGCTCTTGTCCTGTAATGTCTATTTATATGGCTGATAAACCCTAAGTCTCCATTTAAGAAAAAGAAAAAACAGTTTCATATCATTTGCTGCTCGTTACAACAATGTCACGACCAATACCCATTGAAAGTAAAATTATACTATCTTGTATGACTATGTTTAAGCATATGGTGTGGTTAGATAAATGTTTTAGGTCTTTTATATTTTATTTTTCCGTTACTTGTAAGAGAAGCATAATTTTTTTTTTAAGAGAAGCATAGTTTCGTTATTTTAAATCTGTTTTTTTTTTTTCCCTCCGTTTTACAGAAATTGTTGAATCCTTAAAAGAAAAATACACAACATCACACTTCATCAAGATAGAGAATTTCTCTTTAATCAAAAAAGAAATACGAAGGGTCGAATCTTCTGTGTTTTATCTCGGTGGTTACAATTGGTGAGTTCTTGATTTTATTTTGTCTTCTTATGCTTTGTTACAAGTTTACTATACAAAACCTTTGTCCTTGCATGATAAATGAAAACAGGAAACTCCTTGTGTACCCAAATGGGTATCAGGGTTGTGGAGATGATCATGTCTCCATCGGCATAGTGAAGCAAGATTCGGTAAATGTTAGGCTCCAAGTTGAGTTATGCATCGTCAATCAACTAGAGCGAGTATGGCAATCAAAAGGTCTTTACTATCTCTACCCTGCCTATATCTATGTGTCGATATTTTGTTTGTAAATATGATGCTGATGTGTGGTTTGTTTACAGGAGAAATGGCCTTACCACCAGAATTAAGCTGGAAGGGGGATTCAGATTTGATAACACATGCGGATCTCGAGAGAAAAGGGTTCCTTATTGGAGACTGTTGTATCTTTGGTGTGAGGTTTTTTGGGGTTGAACATGCTCCTTCAGGAACAGCTGAATGTTTTAGTGTGATTGAGAAACCTCGCAATCACAAAATCACTTGGATGATGACCAGGTTCTCGTCTTTTGAGCCTGAAAAGGCTCACCATTCTAATGAATTTGTTGTTGGAAACCGGAAATGGTAATGCTCAAATCCTTATACCTCATTATAGTAAAAATAATGCACGACACTAAAAACAAGTATTACATTGTGTGAGTGTGTTTAATCAGGAAAATTCAGGTTCATCCAAGAGGGTGTAAGGAGGGAAAAGGCAAATCATTTTCGGTGTATCTGGTGGGAAATGGGTTTGTCAACAAGGCCCTAAGTGCAAATGTTTTCGCCAAGTTTAAGCTGCGTATAATTGATCAAGTTAAACGAGATCATGTTGAGAAAGCTTGTATGTTGCAAACATCCCTTTTCATCCTTTCTTTTGCCTAGCTTTGGAAGAAAAAAAAAAGAACAAAGTGTGATGGTACAACATTATTATTTTATTTTATTTTATTTTGTAGATTCGGGTTGGCTTGGTGAAGAATCTGATGTCAGCCATGGGTTTCCGGAGTTCATGCCTCTGAAGACACTTGCTGAACCATATTTGGTGAACGATAAGTTGTACGTGGGAGTTGAGTTTGAACTCATTTCTGTGACTAATACTTGTTAGGTTTATAAAGCCATCACCATGGCCAAGAATAAGACGCAACCCTCAAGTATTTGGACTAAAGTAATGTTGTCTTTTCTTTTCTTTACTGTATTGTATTAAAATAAAAGGGAGCACTATCTTGTTGTTACCACAGAATGATGTAGAAACATCACACCCTTGCTTGCTTTTCCATTTCCAAGTGTGTAGGAACTCATGGTTCCTTCTTTTATGTAAGGACAAGACCAAATAAGTAAAAGGCAGATGTTTCTGTCAGTTATAAGTATATTTCTTGTCACAGCTACATCATGTTGAGAAAACATGCAAGGATATTTCTTGAGAATTTTTTTATCAATTTTATTGCTTCTCAATTTTTCATCTTTCTTCATGATTGTTGGGGGTTTTTTTTTAACAATGGTCATGGCTACAAGAACAATATAGTGGATCAACTCCCTATCTTTTCTTTACTACATTGTATTCAAATAAAAGGGAGCACTACTCTTGTTGTTTACCACAGAATGATGTAGGAACATCACTCCCTTGTTTTTTTTTCTATTTCCAAGTGTGTAGGAACTTATGGTTCCTTCTTTTAATGCAAGGACAAGAGCATTTCCAACTCTGCTCAATTTTTCATTTCAAAGTAGAATTTAAAGTAAAAATCTTAAACTTTATCCCGTACTGGACTATGTATAAAAAACAAAATTGAAATTATTCCAAAATGGAGTAATTAAATATTTTAGTCATTGTATTTTCACTCTAAAATAGTATTTCAAAATGTACTCAAGGTTGAAGTGAATTAACTTTATTATAAAATAACTGCCCAAATAACTTCATTTTAGAAAAAAAATGAAAAAGGAAAAAAACAAGAGAAATACACCTCTTAGTGTTCAGCCAAGACAAGTAGAGTATGCTTGTTTCTTCTCAAACTCTTTGGCCAAGACAAGCTGCTTCCTAAAAGAACCCTATTGTAGTTTCTCTTTTTACGCATCCTATCTTTTTCAAAATCCTAAATCCTCTCATCGGTAGAAAATCATCAATTTCTTCTTCTTTCGAACCAGGTATAATCTAATTCTCGTTCTTAACAACTCCAACGCTTGAGTCCTCTTCATTGATTTACCTTAACATTATCGGATAGAGAATAAGGAAAGCACTGTCCATCAGAATGACTCAAATGCTGAGACTCCACTAAATATGTGACAACCACTGTGTCATCCTTCAACGCACCTGCAGCAGCAGTTTCAGCTACCATAATTTGTGGCTGTCACCTCTTCACTCTTGTATTACAGAGCCGTCTCCTTCAGCAACAATACCACACTGATGTAGTGGCTAAGTCAGGCCATGAAGTTTCCTCATAACCACGCTTCATCCTTAAGTTATGAAGAAATATTACTAAGCTTGGACAGAAGCTTGTAAGCCTAATGTTAACAAACGCCTGTACTTAAACTAACACATCCAAAACGATATCACGATCAAATCTACATGTCTATATTATATTATTTGCTGTTTATGTTATTACTTTTTAGCCATTTTAAGATACTATTAGAAGATCGACAGCAAATACGACAAGAGAACTCTTACAAACCTTACTAGGAAGGTCGTGAGGCAGTGTGAAGACAAGTAACGTGATATAACAAATGGACCAAACTGTATTAATGTCGAAAATGGCAAAACTGAAAATCTCAAACAAACTAAAGCAAAAGAACATAGTAGTAGGAGTAAAACAAGGAGACAACTAATCGAACAAGCCGAATCCAAGATCTCCATCGCTCTCTTCTGCTGGTTCATCCTACACAACAAAACAAAAACAACAATAAATAACCAACACAGAGTAAAAGAAAAACAACTCATTCAATAAATAAAGAAAAAAATGTCATTTACTCTAAATTATATACCTTCTTCTCCTCCTTGGCAGGGGCAGCTGCTGCGGCTCCTCCACCAGCAGCAGGTGCGGCGGCAGCAACAGGCGCACCACCTCCACCACCACCAGCACCAACATTCATGATGAGGTCAGTGACGTTACGCTTATCAGCCATCTTGGCGAATAGCATTGGCCAGTAAGACTCAATCTCAACACCAGCGGCTTTGACCAAAGTCGCAATCTTGTCAGACTATTAACAACAGAGTTAAAGATATAAACAAAAAAACACTCGAGAAATAAAAAAATGGCCCTAACCAACCATAAAGCAAAGCAAAACCTAACATCTTGTTCTTCACGACACTAAGATTCAAGACAACTAACATAACATGTCAAGAAATAAGACAGACAACGAACGAGAGACATAATTAGGTTCTTGTCCTATAAGAAACAACTTACAAAGACAGTTCTGTAACCCGAAAACAAATTCATTTCCACACGAAAAAAAAACGAAAAGCTAAAAGATAAATCTAGTAAAGGATACAGTGATGGCAATGCCCTCATCTTCGAGGATCATGACAGCGTAGCTGCAAGCAAGTTCTCCGACTGTAGACATCGTCTCTGTGATAACACAATAAACAACAGTTTTAAATCTCAAGAATAGAGGCAAACGTGAAGTCAGAAGCGTAGAGAGGAAGGAGAAGAAGAAGTACCTCCGACTGCAATGAAAAGTGGCGCCGCTTGAACACTCAGATTAGGGTTTGCAATGGAGCCATTGTTATGAGTCGTCAGTTATAAATAGAACAAATCTACATACACTTTGGGCTGCGGATGAAGGCCCATTTTGAACTGACGTTTAAATATTTGGGCTTTATTTTGTTATTTGGGCCTTTCTACAATTTTTCTACTTATGCGAGCAGGCATCAACCGTTGTTTCTCTTTCGAGCTTTATTTTTGAAGTTACAATTTTTTTATTTATTGGAAAGTCGAGTGTTCCATAACTTCATACTCCAATTTGAATGGCTTTGTTTTTTTTTGGATGGCTTTGTATACTGTAACATGGGTCTGATAATGATTACGACTATAGAGGTTAGTGTTTGGTAGCTTTTCGTAGTTATTCACGTCAATAATACAAGAGAGACTTTCCAGAATTGTTGTATTGTCTTCATCCTAGGTTTGTGCAATTCTAACTATTTCTGTGTTCCTTTTTTATAAACACATATTATTTCAATATTTAAATGTCAAAGAGAAAATCGCAATAAAAACCTCAAAATGTCACTTACTTACATTTTAAATTTTAAAGTTTTTGCACTATAACACTTTTAACATTTAAAGTTACATTTGTATCACAAAAAATCTCCAACATAAAAAATTGACCATTTGTACAGGTAAAAATAATGTATCAGGTTTATTTTTCAATTTATAAAAAAAATGTTCAGAAAATTAAATAAAAGTTTACAAAACTAAATAAAAATAGAAAATTAAATAAATATAAAAGTTACCTAAAAATTCAAAAATAAATACGACTAAATTAAAATACAGAAAATTAAACAAAATTATAATTATTAAAAATTAAGAAAATTCAAAATATTTTTATTACAAATTACAAGATTTTTTAAAAAAAATATCATATCATTGTTTACCGTAAAAATTTCAAAATATCACTTATGACAATTATGGTTTTTCACTTAACTATTAACAGTGAAGTTTTTTGGTAATATCTCCAATGAAATTTTCCAACATCATTGTTGAAAATGGCAAAAAAAAAAAATTCTGATTTTTTTAGTTTTCGATGTTTATGATTTTTTTAGTTTTCGATGTTTTAATTGGGTCTTTTTCATTTTTTAATTTTTAGTTATTTTTAAAATTTATAATAACTTTTATAATAAAATTATAATAAATTAATTTTTTAGTTTTCGATGTTTCAATTTGTTTTATTTTATGATTTTTTTAGTTTTCGGAACTTTTTAAAAAAAAATCTGAATGTTGATTTAATTTAATTAAATTTTTTATTTTTAAAAAAAAATTGGATTTTTTTAAGTTTTCAATTATTTTATTAATTTAATATTTTTTATACAAAAAAATCCGACACATCATCCTTTTACCTCTAATACTGGTCATTTTTTATTTATGAGGTTTTTTGTGATACAAATGTCACTTTGAAAATTAAAAGTGTTAACAAAAAAAACTTCAAAGTTTAAAGTGCTAGTATGTGATACTTTGAAGATTTGTTATGTGTTTTCTCGAATTTCAAAAGAATGGCAATATAGAAACCATATATCTTGTATATATATATATATATATAAGAGCATTTTCTCACTCTAGGAAGTGTCATGTCACTAATTAGACATTTGTGGGTGTGACATCTGTCCAGGAACAACAAAACTCTTGTTTCATTAACTTTCGTCTTCAATTGACGCGGGCTTTGCTATGTGGGCCTTAGGTTTTAATGAAGAGAGCAGTTCATCAGCCTGATAGAGTCAATCGTAATCACTTCACTTCAGTGCTGGGAGCCGACGTCTCTCTTATCGCTTCAAGTTCTTCTCATTCTTATCAAAATCGAACACCGTTATGGATCTCGACTACATTCAATCATCGTCATTAACGCTGACATTAACAGTATCTCGCCACTATAAATATGAGAGTTCTTTATGTGAAATCACCAGTTATTTCCTCTTAGCCATTACCAAACTTTCAGAGATTGATTAGAAGGGCAAACTTCTACTCATCTCTCCGACTTCAAATGGTAGCACCACTTTCGAGGTTCGCATTCTGAGATTTTGGGAGTCTGTTTTGAATTTGTCTTGAAAGTTTTGAATCTTTGTGGTTGAGTTCAACAGAACTTGCAGAGACAAAGAGTCATGTGCTTTGAATGAAGATTTTTTTTTTTTTTGGAATTTTGCAAAACGATGGTTAGACGCTACATATATCTTAAACCTAGATGATAGATGCTACATATATCATATTGACGGTTTCATCTGTGTTGGAACTAAGATTGATGTCTTGCTCGCCTTTTTGATTATTCCCAGCTAACCTCTGGTGGAAGCCAACATCTATGTCGAATTGCTTGAACTTCTTCTCAACGGGTATCAATAACTGGTACGAAACATGACTTTATTCATTGATTTTCAGTACCGCTTCAATAACTCATCTCCCACTCCTCACATGATTTGTCATTCAGTACATCATCTCAATTCTTCCAATATGGGAATCTGCAGCTCTAAATGTGTAAGTTTCTTTCCGTAAAATTCATCATTTTATTTTCGCAATCCTTAATTTGGTTCTATTCTTAAAGGAGGCTTCAGCAGTTGATGAGCAAAGAAAAGGTATGTGTCTATTGTTTTATTTATTTTTTTCCTTTGTCAGATATTGAAGATATTACTTTTGAGCTCACCTTGCTTCACCTTTGCATTTAGATTAATGTTGGTTGAAACGAAATTAATTCATCGGTCTGTGTCGTAACTTCTTTACTTATATAAAAGGGATCTGTAATCTACTTACTAGATTTGGGTTTACATTGTGAATGGAATCACTCTGTGTAAAGTATATGGTACAAGTAGAATCTATATAGGTTTGAAGTTACAAGATTCTTAGTGTTCTAGCATGATCTTCTGTTCTTTTTTCTTTTTGCGATTCTGATCGATGGAAGTTATAGACTGTTTTGGCTCTAAATATTTTGATTTCTTTGTCAAAAAGTTTCTTGGTAGTTCAAAAAAATTATAAGTTTTCTTATCATGAAAAGGCATAAACTTTACTAATGGATCGTTGTTGCTTGCTTTCATAATATGTGTGCTTGCTTTGTGAGCTCATGGTGGTTATACAATCACATGTACTTGATCCTACAGAAATTAAACACCATGAATTCATAAGGTACGGCTTGATGTATTTGGAGACGTTTCAGCGAAAGGAAAACATTGCGCAAGAGAATGCATTGAATGGATGTGGATTTTGGTGAGTACTATATATATAGGCATCATTATCCTTTAGCAATGGGAGTTAGCATTATAAAGTTAGGCACAATCATGATGATCATCGGTGGCAGGTGATGGTGGTACACTTGGTTGGGTTTTTGGTTGTCTTGATGAGAAACACAAAGCATGGCATGATGCTCTTGACATACACAACTTTTCTGCTTGGTAATCTCTAAAAACACTTCATATTTAGTCTCTGAACATATACCGAATGGATCTAGAATCAGCTCCAACTATCAAAATCGTCTCACTCTTCTCCTTCATATCTATATTTTTCTCCTATAAAATAAGCCTCTCAACATTGAGACAACAAACACAGTAACAAGCAACTGCAACTTATTTGTTCCTGCTTTCTGAGTTGAAATCACTGTTCTATTTTCACAGGCTGTTGACACCCGTCGTCTCTTTAACGTCAAAAATGGCGGCGAGCTGGACATGGACATGCTCCCTAATTGATGAAGAGGTAGACGTTCCCAATCCAACGTCTCCAACTGATATCATTCCACTCAGCCTTAGCAGAGTACTTGAAGAAAAATCTTAACCTGCTCAGCTGACTTGCAGCAGAAGCAATGTGTCACCACAAGAGAAAGCACCAATGAAGAAACAAAAGACTTAGATACTGAAGGCAACCACATCAGTCCCTGCCCTTCAGTGTTTTATCATTATATTGATATTATTACTGCATTTTTAATTCAGCATGTTCAACTCATGCTACTAAGCGAACCTTTCATGACTTATGTCTTTGTTACATGCTTTTGTACGAAGGGGTGGTGATCGTTGGTGATTGCTCAATCTTAAACTCATTTTATAAGTATTGTTGTGGCCTTTTATCAGACCAACAATATAGTAAAATAGAACATATATCTATATGCTAAAATTTAGTAACACAAACAGAACTTGGTGAAACATTAATCAATATTTAATAAACAGTTAAAATAAAATAGATAATTTCATCTAACTAAATAATTTTTAAAAATTAAAGATAGAAATTTACAAAAACAGAGGAAAACTCACTTACAATAATGTTCTCCAGTTTCATTAAACTCATGTCAATAAAAAGAAAAATAGAGAATTTAGAAGAAAGGTTTTCTATATTTTGTCACCAAACTCAAATTTAAAGAAACTAACAAAAAAAAATAGAATTGCAACTAAACAGTATACATAACCAAACATATATCAAAAACTGTTTAGAAATTAAAATAATAAGATATAATAAATAAAATAATAAGAATTTATTAATACATAATATAACTCGAGTTTGGTAAAGAAATTAGTCAATAATAATAATTTATAAATATGCATAATATAATCAAACGATAAATATATCTAAAAATGAGCACGAACTCATAAAAACAAAAATCATGATTCATTTACTATATTGTTTTTCATGTTTTATCTAACTTAGGCAAAACAAAAAGTGTATCATATCACGAAACTCAAATGGAGAAATTAACGTTTACGAAAAAGGTCTAATGTTATAAATCACCGAAAACATCTCTAAAGTATTTTACTATTTCTACTTATAAAGTTGAAAAAATCTATAATAGATGTAAGACATGCTTCAAGGTATTATTAAGTTTAAAATAATATAGTAATAAAATCTATTTTTTATTTCTTGTTCTATAAATAAAGAAAAATATTCTAT